GAATTGTTACTGAGGGACACAGAATTGTTACTCAGGGACAGGACACCTGAATTGTTACTGAGGGACACAGAAATTGATACTGAGGGACAACAGAGTTTTGTTACTCAGTGGACAAGAATTGTTACTCGAGGGGACACAGAATTGTTACTATGTTACTGAGGACACAGAAATTGATACTCTGGGACAGACACAGAATTTGTTACTGGAGGACACAGAATTGTTACTGAGGGACCACAGAATTGTTACTGAGGGACACAGTATTGTTGTTACTCAGGGACGACACAGAATTGTTACTGAGGGACACAGAATTGATACTCAGAGGGACACAGAATTTGTTACTTGAGGGACACAGAATTGTTATTAGGGACACAGAATTGTACTCAGAGGACACAGAGATTGTTACCCGAGACAGACACCGAAATGGGACTGAGGACACAAGAATTAATTACTGAGGGGACTACAGAATTGTTTACTCAGAGGACACAGAATTGGTTACTTAGGGACCACAGAATTGTTACTCAGGGACAGACCCAGAATTTGTTACTGAGGGACTCAGGACAGCAAATTGTTAATGAGGACACAGAATTGTTACACATGACAGACACAGAATTGTTACGGAGGGGACACAGATTGTTACTCAGACAGAACCAGAATTGTTACTCAGAAGACAGACACAGAATTCGTTACTGAGGGGACACAGCAATTGTTAACTCATTGGACAGACACAGAATTGTTACTGAGGGACCACAGAAGGAATCGGTTACTCAGACCAACTAGAATTGTTACTTCAGGACAGACATCAGAATTGTTACTGAGGGACACAGAATTGTTACTGAAGGACACAGGAATTGTTACTCAGGGAACACAGAATCGTTACTCAGGGACAGAACAGAAATTGTTACTGAGGGACACAGAATTGTACTCACTAGACAGGACACAGAATTGTTTACTGACAGAAAAGGATCACAGACATTGTTACTGAGGGACACAGAATTGTTAACTCAGGACAGACACAGAATTGTTACTGGAAGGGCCACAGAAGTGTTACTCAGAGACATGACACAGTAATTGTTACTCAGAGGACAGACACAGAATTGTTACTGATGAGGACACAGAATTGTTTACTGAGGTACAACAGAATTGTTACTGAGGGTCACAGAATTGTTACTCAGGACAGACACAGGATGGTTACTGAGACAACACAGAATTGTTACTACAGGTGACAGACCAGAATTGGTTACAAGAGGGGACACAGAATTGTTACTGAGGTACACAGAAAATTGTTAACTGCGGACCTAGACACAGAATTGTGTTACTCAGGACAACAGAATTGTTACTCAGGGGACAGGACAACAGAATTGTTACTGAGGGGACACCAGAATGTTACTCAGGGTCAGACACAGAAATTGCTGTACTGAGGGACACAGAATTGTTACTGAGGGACACAGAAATTGTTACTGAGGGACAGACACAGATTGTTACTCAGGGACACAAGATTTGTTACTCAGGGTCAGGGACTACAGAATTGGTTTACATGAGGGACACAGAATTGGTTACTCAGGGACACAGAATTGTTTATCAGAGGGACACAGAATTGTTACTCAAGGACACAGAATTTTACTCAGGGACACAGAATTGTTACTGAGACATGAATTGTTACTCAGGGAACACAGAATAGGTTGCTCATGACACCAGAAATTGTTACTCAAGGACGGACACAAATAACAGAATTGTTACTGAGGACACAGCATTGTTACTCAGGACACAGATCTTGAATTAAAGAAGTTATGTCAGACAACATGCAGAGGAGTGGCAGAGGAGCAATGTTATTAGGAGTGAGCGAGGACGGTGGCAGCAGAGAAAGGAGGTCGAGGCAAGCTAATAGTCGCAGCCCATAGGCCAGTGCTCCCGATGTCATCCCAGCGGTACTTCGTGTCTGCACACCGTCAACCCTGCCGTCATCGATTGGTTGGCTCTGTCGTCTTTCCTCTTCACCAGGTCACCTTCTGGACTACCTACAGACCAAATCGGGGGGGGGGGAGTTTTTTCCAACTGGTGGGGGCGTTCGGTCAAGACACATACCGTTAGTTGGCAATGGGGGGCCCGGGGAGGCAAGCCCACTGAAATCACGTGTTTTTTTTTTTTCCCTATATCACTGCCCCTGTCCTGTTGGTGTTACCATCACCAAGCGAAGTATCGCTTCGCTGGGTGGCTCAGCCCCTCACTGTACAGTGAAGAAGAGATAACAGAGGGCGGTCAGGAATCGGGGGTAGGACATCCGACTCTACAGCAGCAGGGCAATGAGAAGTACTACGCGTGGAGAGTGGCTCGGTTGGGTAGCACGGTCTAGAGTACAGGTCTGTCTCCTGACCCTACAACCGCAGCCGAGAGGGCTGTAGTAGTGAGGGCGGAGAACCTCATTGATGATGTATCGGAGGCTGATGCGCAATTGGGCTAACTCTAGTCGTTCATCTAGGCTATTGCTTCCCGCATCATCAGGAAAGAGGGTCCATCTTGGCAGCGAGCAAATAACAGTCTGGTGGGGTGCCCTAGGATGGCAGCAGGCGTCGCAGCAGTGTCCAGTGGAGGCAAACAACGGCGACTCGCGGAGTAGAGCACCAGCTCCTCCTCTGCACTGCCTACACACCACACGGCCAGTAAGTGGTGCGGTGTGCACGGGATGGAAGTAGCATTCAGCAGTGTGGAGTAGCGGGGGGCAAAGTTTGCCTTCTCGGCGGTGTTGAGCAAAGTTTGGGGGTTCCGGTCAAGGAAGCGGTGCCCCTGGCGGGTGAGAAGTCATAGCGATAAGCGCGAGAGTTATGTCGACGAGTCTCTGAGTGGTCAGCCCATGACTGGAACGATCCCATATTATCGTGGCACAGGGTGCCAGCAACTGTGTCCATCGAGGACTACCCAGCGTTGCGGCAGCATATGCAGCGTCGCCATTTGGTGGCCTGGGAAAACCGTGATAAAGATACGGCTGTTCAGCCTGCCCCAGCCCCCGCTCCATCACACGCTCCGTTACTAGCTCCGTCACCCGCACGTCCAAAATCGCCCTCTATCAGGGGAGGAACATTCTGAGTGTAATGAACAGATAAAACGACAGATGGATGTCCTCCGCTGCAAACTAGAAAATCGGAACCAATGTGACCGACAACGGAAAGGAAACTATGGTGTCTGCTCTGCGTCAAGGAAAGGTTGTGCCATGCGCCATGCATGGCTCACAGTGTTCAAATCTGGGTTGTCAAGACGGTTCCTAAAATCCACCATCCCACTGCAAGACATCCTTAAAATGTCACGTAAACTTTGCATGGCATTTCACATTCCTACACCGCAAAGCACACCCTCCTTGAGCTGCAGCGGCAGAACAGGAATTCCACAGCATCGCCTGATCTGCGACATTGCAACAAGGTGGAATTCAACCCTACACATGTTAGACCGCCTTTACGAACAGCGAAAGGCCATCACCGAGTTTTCCTGATGTTACAAGCAGGATAAAGTCGGTAACTCCCCTGTGTAACTTAGATGTCAGCCATTGGCAATCTCATGCGTGACCACCTGCCGCTTGCTCAGGCCCTTTGAGGAGGGCCACGCTATTCGTGAGTCGAGTCGGCAGGACTATGGAATGAACGACGTCATTCCTCTGTTGCACGTCCTTGGAACAAATGCTGTTAACAATGGCTGTCAGGGTGCGTGTTGTAGACGTGGCGCACAGATCTCAACGCCACATGACCCCTGTGGGGGCAGGACAGGAAGAAGAGGAGGAGGTAGAGGAGGACCATTGGTGCTCAGGAATTATTGAGTGAAATGGGTGGTTTTTTTTTCCACTCAGCGGACAGGAGTGGAGGAGCAGGAGCATCTGGTAGAGGAGGAGGAGGAGGAGACAGAGGACCCAGACGCACCGTGGCAGTATGCTGTGGAGATGGAGGCAGGGAGTCCCCTCGCATTCCTTGGCACAAATGGCCCATAGCATGCACCGTTGCTTGCGTTAGCGACAGCGAATAATAACCATCAGACAGAGGGAATGACTTTTGGCTGTCCACCTTGTTGACCCTCACTACCGTTCAAAAATGGTGGCCTTTTTCAGACCTGCTGAGAGGGAGGCCAAAAAACGTACTATAAAAACCACCTATGTAGTCAGTTGGTCTCTGCCTTTCTGCGCCAACGTCCATCCTCAGACACTGTGGGCCCTGTGCGCATGGCGTTCCGCTGCCATGGCAGCAGGGGAGGGGTGGGTGGTAGGAGCTAGTGGCAGCTCCACCAGCAGCGGCTGCCCACAGTCTGCAGTCGATGAATGAGTAGGCTTTCTTCACCAGCGCAGTGAGGAAACTACTAACCAGCCGCAAGCAGCGCAGCATGTCATCAGGTGGACTGGAGCAGGACCTCAAACAACAGGCTTTGGGGCCTACTGGGACAGCACCCTGCCAACCGAGGGTAGACAATCCCCTTGACTACTGGGCAACGAAACTGAACCTTTGGCCCCAACTAAGCTGAATTTGCCCTTGAAAGGCTGTCATGCCCGGCCAGTACGTGGCATCGAGCGCGTGTTTAGTGCGGCAGGAGGTATTGTAACTCCGCGCGAGGACACGACTGTCCCACCCAAAGTGTGGAGAGACTCACGTTTGTGAAAATGAAATCAGGCGTGGATTAGTCTGGATTTCAACCACAGTTCCTGACACAACTCGACTAAATCCGCCATGAATCATGACCCAAACATGTTTATTATTTTTAACATAGGCCTCTGTATGGCCTTCAATTTAAGCTGCTTACGCTTCGCCACTCTGCCATGGGCCCCTGTACCGCCTCCTCTTGCTGCTGGCCACAGGTCCAGAGTGTATCTTGGGTCCCCTGTACGCCTCCCATTGCTGCTGACTTCATTCGCCAGACTCTGCCATTGTGCCACTTTCAGGTCTCCTTACACTGTTGGTGGGTTTTCCATTTTGTCAAAGGGTGCTGGCAGATTACGGGCCTCCTTGCTGCTGCCAGGCCCGTAATCTGCCATGGGCCCCTGTACCGCCTCCTCATGCTGCTGCCAGGTCCAGAGTGTGTCATGGGTCCCTGTACGGCCTCCCATTGCTGCTGCCAGGCCCGTAATCTGCCATGGGCCCCCGTACCGACTCCTCATGCTGCTGTGCTTTGCCAGGCCCGTAATCTGTCATGGGCCCCTGTACCGCCTCCTCAGGCTGCTGCCAGGTCCCAGAGTGTGTCATGGGTCCCTGTACGGCCTCCCATTGCTGCTGTCTCCATCGCCACACTCTGCCATGTGCCACTTTCAGGTCTCCTCACACTTGTACTTGGTGTGGGTTCCCATTTTGTCATGAGGGTGCTGTATGGCCTCCATTGCTGCTGCCAGGCCCGTAATCTGGCCATGGGCCCCCGCACCAACTCCTCATGCTGCTGCCAGGCCCGTAATCTGTCCATGGGCCCCTGTACCACCTCCTGACATGCTGCTGCCAGGTCCAGAGTGTGTCATGGGTCCCTGTACGGCCTCCCATTGGCTGCTGTCTCCATCGCCACACTTCTGCCATGTGATGTGCCACTTTCAGGTCTCCTCACACTGCTGGTGGGTTCCATTTTGTCATAGGTGCTGTGCAGATTACGGGCCTCCCTTGCTGCTGCCAGGCCCCGTAATCTGCCATGGGCCCCCGAACCGCCTCCTCATGCTGCTGCCAGGGTCCAGAGTGTCTCATGGGTCCCTGTACGGCCTCCCATTGCTGCTGTCTCCATCGCCACACTTTTGCCATGTGCCACTTTCAGGTCTCCCTCACACTGCTGGTGGGTTCCATTTTTGTCATAGGGTGCTGTATGGCTCCCATTGCTTGCTGCCTCCACCGCCACACTGTGGCTCCACACTCTGGTTTTGGCCCCCGTGACTGCCCAAATGAGTGAAGTGTTGCAGTGATTCTACAGATCGACGGCACTCATCTGCATGTCATACTGACTGACAGTATTATTTCTCTCTCTTCCCAGCAACTCCAAGGCATTTAAATTAAAGGTACAGTGTTCTGCACTAATATAAAGGCTCTCTGAAGCCTAGAAACCCTTTTTATAAGTTAAAATTTCGCAGCAAATATATTCGCATCGAATCGAATTTATTCCTCGAATTCGCCCGAATCAGCCGAATCGAATTTTTGAATACTTCGCTCATCTCTACTAACCTTCTTAATTTGCTTAAGAAGGTTGCGTACAAAAGGAATTTGACCTTAATTTGGAGCGTATAAATTTCTACCATTACTGTCTGATACAATCTCATGTAGAGTAAAGTAAAGGCTACTGTACTTTTAATAGCAATGAGCACATTGTTGTGTTTGTCCCCGCATCTGTGAAAAAAATATGCGGGAAAGCCTTGTTAGAGCTCTTGGGACGTTTAGAGGCCTGGAAGTGAGTTTCTTGCAAGCAAATCACATCACCTTGTAATTTTGGGGCTTCAGACCACATGTTTTTACATTTAATGGGACTATTCAAACCTTTAACATTGAAAGATATAAATTTAAAGTTCATGGGAAATGGATGATGCTGTCAAGGTTGCAGAGAGTATTCCATGTAGCACTCCTGCAGCCTTTAAGGATGCCGTCCAAAACTCGTAGTCCCAAGTGCAAGTTGTGGCTTGCAATATATTGTACAATGTCATAAAAAAAAGAGGTGGATACAAGAAGGGGTGTAGATCAAATTGAAAAGAACTGCAGACTAGACATTTCTGGCCAATATTGCGTAAAACAATGCAGGCCACAAAGTAACACTAAACATACAAAAACGTAAAACTTGTAAGAAAGGAACTGAGGAAACCCTCGAACCTAGAATCAGCCAAGTCTGCTTACCTGAAGAGGGAACCAATTCGTCTTTTTCAAAGCACGGAGTATGGTAATGAAAAGTCCATCTCATATGCCTGCATGGTCGAGATGTAGGGAGGAGGAGCATAAGAGGAGGAAATAAAATAGGTGAAGTTGACTCCCTAGGTCCAGTCATTTTGCAGTCTGGATAGATCCCTGTTCTTTTCTGCGGTGGTGTCAGCTGCTAATATTTGCCATTCCTTGAGGTATTTCAGGTCCGTTTCCAGAGAGTGGATGTTGATGGTTTTTCCTTGATAAGACACTATCAGCTTGGTGGGGAAAACCCATTTATATGCAATCTTATGATTCTGAAGAGTCCTGGTAATCGTAATCAGCTTCTTTCTGTTTAAAACTGTAGCTTGGGAAAGATCCGCATAAGGTGCGATCCCCGTATATATTGACTGAGTAAATCTGTTTTTTTCCTTGCTGCTTGCATAGCCTGCTGTTTGATGTGATAATAATGTATTCTGGCTAGAACAGCATGAGAGACCGAGTCAGGCAGATATTCTGGTTTGGGCAACCTATGAGCCCTGCCAATGATTAGTTCATATTCCTGTGCTTCCGGAATCAAGACTTTGAGAAGTTGTTTGAAAAAAACCTTTAGCCATGCAGAGGGTATAGTTTCAGGTATCTCACGAAACTTGATATTATTACGGCGGGGCCTATCTTCTAGGTCGGCCATTTTATTAGATTTTTTGGAAATCTACTTGTTGCTCCTTACATACATCCACAATAGTGTTGTGAGCAGAGAACACATCATCCATCTTATGTTCTATATGGGAGACTCTTTGTTGTAAATTATGCACTGATTCATTGACCTTGGCTAGCATATTAATCATATCTGTATGCAGAGTATCACGCAAGGATATTAACAGGAGTTTAAGATCACTAACGGAGACAGGCTGAGAAGTAGCTGGAAACTGCTCTAAGGCCGTTTGTGGCTGAATGGGATCTTGTAATGTAATGTCTCTGGAAGTTTGCAAAGTGCGGGATTCTCCCTGTTTAGCTTTTTTGGTCTTGGCTGAACTTCTAGTAGTGGGGCTGTCAGGAGGGGTCGACTCACCCTGAGCAGATGGCAGGTGGTGGACAATCAAGCACACTGATGAGGCCAAGATGCCTGAGGAGGAATCTTCCATGCTGTCCTGTAGTGCAGGCAGGCCAGCGCCATCTTGAGTCCCTCGATCCCCCACCGGAGAGAAAAAGGTTGTTAGTTTAGGAATCAGTGGCCTCTGCGAACCCCGTTTTGGCACTGAACCTGCTACAAGGCATTAGGGGTGCAGTCTGTGGCTCACATGGGGTTCTCCCCTTGTCATTTTGGAGGTTGCTAGGCAGGCTCTAGAGCCGGAGCTCCCTGTTACACTTCTGTCCCGGACATGCCCCCCTACGTTGATCATTTTTAACAGCCTCTTGTTAATGACATTCCTTCGTATCTTAAGAATCATCAACGTATTGAGTGAACAAACTTTTAATGTTGAGGGTTGGATGGTCACAGCAGATGTGACATCACTCTACACTATCATACCACATGATTTGGGCTTAGAGGCGGTTGACTATTATTTATCCAATGGGTCTGATATTTCTTCATTGCAAAAAGAATTTATAATGGATTTATTAAAACATGCAGCATCCCATAACTATATTTGGTTTGGGGAACAATATTATCTTCAGAAGAGAGGAGTTGCTATGGGGGCTAAATATGCCCCCAGTCTGGCTAATCTATTTATGGCCAGGTGGGAGGAGGATGTTGTTGGTGTGTGACGCCCTCAACAATTGGTTTTGTGGGCTAGTTACATTGACGACATCTTCCTCCTATGGGATGGATCATTAGAATCCCTAGAAGATTTTATGCTTTCTCTAAACATGACGATAGGGGTATTAAGTTGGACTATGAGGTTAGTCAAACCGAGATACATTTTTTTAATTTAAAAATAAGGAGAAAGGAGAATGGTTTCATTACATCCACCTTTTTTAAGTCTACAGATCGGGATGCCTATATTCTGATAGATAGCTGCCACTTTAAGCCTTGGTTAAAGTCCATCCCGCGAAGCCTATTTTTATGAATCAGGAATTGTACCAACATTAGTGATTACTCATTGCAGGCGAAAATGAAAAAAAAAATCGATTTGTAGAAAAAACATATACAACTATGGGTTTAGATACCGATATAGAATCAGTTCGAGAGTTAAATAGGGATGATATGTTAAAGGAAAGGCCTATATGGAAAAATATGGAAGGTAATAAATTTGCCTGTTCTTTTGTTACCTCATATTCAACCCAACATTATTTCATTAAAAGAATTTTAGCCAAACATTGACACATATTGTGCAATGACAGAGTATTGGGACCAACATTGCCATCCAAATCACAGGTTATTTTTTGTGGCATTCTATCATTGCGTAATGTGATTGCCCCTAATATATATGATCCTCCAAGGCGAACAACTTTTTTTCAGGAGCTTACAGGTTTCTATAAATGTCAGAAATGCATAGTGTGTTCATTTAAAAGTGTGAAGTCCTTTGTGTCTACTGCCACCTCTAGAAACCATCTTATTAAACCTTTCATTACATGTACCACTTTTAATGTGGTTTATCTCCTGCAATGCCCTTGTGGCCTCCAGTATATTGGAAAGACAACTTGTGCCTTTCAAGTAAGATTAGGGGAGCATATATTAAATATTAAGAGAGGCTTTAAAGGATATAGTGTCTCCAGACACTATGTCACTATCCACAATAAAGACTCTAGTGGCACTCTCTTCCTAGGGTTGGATACATTTACCCCCCATCAGCAAGGGAATGCAACTAGGAGAGAAATATCTAAACTCAAAACTAAATGGATTCATAATGTGAACTGCTATGTACCACAGGGGTTGAATTGGGACATCAATGCCTTCATCAGTGATGCTTAGTTCTGTTTCCTTTTTGAGCATTATTTGTTTCCATCTTCTGTGTTCCCTTTCTGTTAGAGACAGCTGGATGATTATTGATTGTAATAATTGTAACAATCTTGAATTTATGTCAAGAATTATTGGTACAATCAAATTATCTACCTGAATTTAATGATGTTTGAAATTATTAGTATTAATTTTAAATGATTTTTTTTATCATTATTCGGTATATTTAATATGGTTTTGATTTATTTACAATGTTTCCTAGCACTGATGATTATTGTCATTGACTCATGTTGACCACTAGATGGCTTTTTGGGAGTTATGTATAGTTTTAACTGGATTGAATGCAGCTTATTTGGAATATTTATTTAATTTAATATACTATTTATTTATTTATATATTTAATTTGGATATAGTAGTATATCCAATCTATATACAGGATTACTAATTTACTTTAGTTTTGTCCCTTCCCCGGGTCATCTCTGGGTCTGGTGTTGCAATTAGTTTTTTATCCCCAGAGTGAGGCTTGGTTCTGTCCCTGAGTACAGATGTAGAGCAGAGGCTTGGTTATGATGAGGTCAGTTCCTAGTCGCACGGCCTGTTCCAGTCACAGGTTCATTCCCAGCCATGTTGTTCAGATGGAAAATATTCCAAATTGAGGCTTGGTTTTAGCATATATAAGCACGATGATGGAGGGCGGTCTCCTAGCCCCAGAAGTCTGGTATGATGAAACACGTCAGAAAGAGCCTCCCTTGTGACATCATTGTGTAAGAATTGGCTGTTTTACTGTTCCTTGCTGTTTGAGTTTTTGTTATGATCGCTGTAAAGTTCATGATGCTTGTAAGCACATTTCTCTCTGTTTAATAAACACTATGCACTATGACAGGCACCTTCTTTATTTATATTTGAATATATACCAATCTTCCGAGATCGAGACAATCTGAGGAGCCTTTAATGATAAATGTGATCTAGCTTGAGATACATGAGTCTGGGTGGAAGTATATTTTTAAAAAGGCATTTGTTGACCCCCTATAGTCAAGGGGTCAAAGGATCTGGTAAGCCTCCAATTTGTCATCATGGTGGTGCACTATTCACGTTGGTGGTTATATTGGAATGAAGAGCTTGAACTATTCATCACAAAACAAGGGGATTGTCCTATATACCCCATAGGAACTGTTACACATATGTCAATTTTATTTGCACTTTAATTTCTGGCATTGATACACTTTCGAGCACTTTATTCACTGTTCATCACTTGTTTTTTATTTAATAATTGTATATAATTTGTGTATTATTTTGTTT